GCAGGAATGAAGAGGGGCAGAAAACAGTCACAGAGGAAGCAAAGTGGGTTACGGAAACAGGGTGGAGAAAATGCTCACAGCACGAGAGGATAAATATTAGTGACAAATAGCTGCACCCTTTAATGGAGAAGATGCAGTTTTGCTGGCTAACCAACATATCAGAGGTTGAGAAATCTTCACATCTGAAGAGAAATACCAGTAGCAGCTCACGCTTGCGACAAGAAAATGTCTGTATGCTCTGAAGTTAATTACAAAACACTTCAGAAGCAAAATTCATTTTAAGCTTTATACAAAGCAGTTAATGTTTCTCATAGTTCTTTAACTATTTTTCTCTTTTCTTCCTTTTTTCTTTCTTGTCATGATGCTATTGGCATTTTCCACTTCTATTTTAAATGAATTGTCGGAGTGAGGCAGGCTGATAAATCCCTTAAATAAACAGGGATTTGGGTCTATTCATTGCCCTTCTCAGGGCACGCTTCATGTCCTTGTTCCTAAGGCTGTAGATGAGGGGGTTCAGCATTGGGGCTACAGTGGTGTAAAACACTGCAACCACTTTGTCCCTGTCCTGTGGAGGCATTGACTTTGGCCTCATGTATGTGCAGATGGCTGTCCCATAGAATATGGTAACTGCTGTCAGGTGGGATCCACAGGTGGAGAAGGCCTTGGATTGCACATGTGCAGACTGAATCTTCAAGATGGCAGAAAGGATATGGGCATAGGAGGTGATGATCAGAAGAAAGGGGATGAAGACTATGAGGATGCTGAAGATGAAGATGACCAACTCCATGAGGGCAGTGTCGGCACAGGCCAAGGCCAGCACTGCTGGCACTTCGCAGAAGTAATGGTTCAAGACGTCAGGCCCGCAGAAGGGCAGCCGCAAGGTGAGGCTGTTGATGACCATGGAGCTCAGCAGGCTGCTGGTCCAGGAAGCCACGACCATGCGAGTGCAAAGCTTCCTGGTCATGACAGTGGTGTAGAGCAACGGATGACATATTGCCATATACCGATCATAAGCCATGACCCCAAGAAGGACACACTCTGTCATGCCAAAAGCCAGACAGAAATACATCTGAGCAGCACATCCAGAGAAGGAGATGGTCCTCTTCTTGGTCAAGAGATTCACCAGCATCTGGGGGATGTTGCTGGAGATGTAGCAGATGTCTAAGAAGGACAGATTGGCAAGGAAAAAGTACATGGGTGAGTGCAAGTGGCAATCGGCTCTGATCACTGTAACGATCATGATGTTCCCCACCATTGTGAACACATAAAAAAACAAGAACACTGTGAAAAGAAGAGTCTCTGTCCTTGGCTGGGAGGAAAGGCCTTGAAAGAAGAATTCTGTCACTACGCTTTGGTTTTCCCTGGCCATTATTATTCCAGTGGTTTAACTGTCAAGATAAGAAATAGTAACAAAGTCAACTCAAATCTGTTGCAAGATAAATGTAAGAGCTTATATTTCTCTTTGAAGGGGATAGACTCTGCAGTGGAAAATAACGTAGCAGACATAACATACCGTCCGTTGTCTATTATAGTGACCAGAGAAATGAGAAAATGTTGAGAAAGTTTTCTTGTGGTACATTTAGCTGAACCCCTGTTCATGTTGGTTGCGGTCTAATTACACACATTTAACAGAAGAATGCCTAATTTATACACATTTTAATGTGAGTTAAATATAGAGTTACTATCCTCTTTAGAAAATCAAAATTCAATGTTAGATCACAAGATTATGTGTTAAGACCCCAGTTCTTGATATCCTTTCTTAATACAGGAACAAACACAAAACAGGCTTTGGAGTAAGACAATCCTTCAGACACTCTCATTATGAAACAGAACTACTTTTCTGGACAGGTATCCATAGACCCGTATCCTTTTCCTGCAATAAAGCCAAAATTCAGCACAGAGATCACACCTAATGAATTAAATATGTCCATCCACCTTAATGTCTATCTAGGATCTATGGCATTCTCATCACTATAGCTCCTACTGTTCTTGTTCTGTCCTTACGCAGTATTGTCTAAGATGTTTTAAGTCTTTACTGTGACAAGAAAGTTTCAGAGTAGTATATGGTCACAGCTGCTGGATCCTCGGTCTTAATGCAGTAAAAGGAGAGTAGCAGAATGCCTACATCAATAACGCTGTGGAAGACGCTAATAAACGTCACTTGATATGTTGTAGGGTATCGGAGACATCTGAAGGCGGCCGTCACATTTGATGAAGGGATGTTGGAGAGCTCTGGAATGAAAATTGGACAAATGACAGGTCACACG